TTAAATCTTTCATTATACTCTGAGGCATTTTGTAGGAATACCATCAAACTTTATAGGTCGCTTAGAATCATTCGAATGGATAGGAACCTTGGCATAGTTAGTCCATATATGTTGCGGAAGAGCCAAGGATCTGCAATCGACCCTGGCATGGTAGAAAACAAGAATGAGTACTCTACAACCCTGGCGAGTTTTATGAGAAATGTACTCCATCAATGTTGTCCTGTGAGGCCTGGCTTAAACTATGCTAACTATCATTGAATTGTCGGCCCCTCGACCACCATTGTTTCTCTCAATGGGCTTTATTTTAATTTTTGAATGATTATAATATTATCATGTCTCACGCTTGTTCTGTTTTAGTACTAACATTATTGTGCATTGATAAAATTAACTGCTATTCAACAATCGGTGGCAATCCACCCCTCTTCATTACCTCACACTCTCAACAGTACCTAAAAACCTTTCTTTAAGTCAACCAAAAAGAAACCATTCTGCTCAATTCTTTTTTTCAACAAACTATGCCTCCTATTCTTCGCAGTCATGCTAAAAAACCTATTGGATCCATTCATCTCTCTGAGTTTACCAGGGGGAGGATTCTCAGGTTACAAGAGCATCAGATGAGATATCAGCAAAATTCCCACAATCTTAATATCTCCTACACTACTGTCTGAGACACAATTGCAAAGGAACATCAAGTGGATAAGGAGAATAAGAGTAGAGAAAGATATCCTAAAACTACCAAGTCACAGGATGATGCTATGGTGGAGGAAGCTCTTAACAATCACTATACTACCTATTCTGACATTGCTGAGCAAGTTGCTCTCAATGTTTCTAGTAGGACAGTAAAGAGAAGACTTGAAAAAAAGTATCTTAGAAAGTAGATGGCACAAGAAAGAATTCAGTTGGATGAGGATCTAGCTCAAGAGAGATTGGAATGGGCATTAGATCATACGCATTGGACAAAGAAGATGTGAAGAAGAAAGGCAATGTGAGGAGATGAGGTAGCTGTGGAAAGGGGAGGAGGAAAAGGGAGAAAATAAGTTTTCAGATACCTATATAAGAAATAGAATAAGGATTGTGTTAAACCTAAGGCTAGGAGAGGAGAGAGAGGGATTAGCCAGATGATAACTGGTTGTTTTTATAGTCAAACTCATGGTCTTTTTTTGCCTGTTTTTCCTGATCCTTCTTCTGCTTGCGGTAGAGTTACTGGGAAGTCAATTATTCATGTTTATGATCATTATGACTTTCTAGGGATATGGGAGAATATCAGAGAAAAGGCTGGAGAAGAAGAGGTATTTTTTATCATTGACAATGCTAAGACTCACTTGCCTTTTAGGAGATGGCTCAGAGGGCAGGGAATTACACTAATGGAAATTCCTGCCTATTCACCAGATCTCAATCCAATTGAAAATATTTGGTCTCTGGTAAAAGATAAGCTTCACAAGCACTACCCTGAGCTATATCTTATGAAGGGTGGTGTCAATGTGGTCAAGAAGGCAATAGTAGAGGCCATCACTCATTATTGGGAACTTCTTGACCCAAAGGTTTTTGATACTTTAGCTAGATCAATGGTGGATAGAATAGAGGCAATTATTAAGGCTGATGGATGGTATACCAAATATTAATATCTACTATGTATTTACATCTTTTAATTTTTTTTTTTGGTTTTCATGATAGTAGATTGGTGGGTGAGTGTGGTTGTCATCGCCGAAGATTTTCCTCTGTTGAATCGCGGTTAATTTTGTCCACACACAATACCTTACCAGTACACGCGAGATTCGTATTATACAAGTTTGTACAATAAAGTATAATACCATATAAAAACCACTTGAAATTATTAAATAATATCACTTACATTGCACATAGAGGAATGAAGTTACAAGTTGTGGAAAGATTTCGGTTCAGAGTTGCAATTGGCAGGTAAGTTGTTAATTTGTCATAATATTATTATCATAATGATTTACTGACTGCTAGCACAGAAAACATTTTTCTATGTGGGACGTAGAGCTGACTCATACCATAAGGGTATACAATTCAGGGTTTTGAAATTCAGGGCTCGTATGAATGGTTTGTATAGTATCATATACGGAGCAAGGGCAAATACACGGTATATGATAATTTTTTAGGTATATTTGATCGTCCTACTTGCCAGTAACCCCTCATTTCCCAATCGTTTAACAAGGGGGGCTTGCAGCGGGGGGTTTAGGGTTAGGGTTATGAACTCCGATATTGGTGGGATGTTAGCACTGTTTACCCATCCTCGACAACTGTGCCAAATTGTCCTGATCTAACCACACTCCGGCATTCCAATCACCCCTTGGGGGCACGGCAAATCTGGGCGGGTGGCAAACAGAAATCAGCGGGGGGTAAATTTTCGTTATCGTACCGTTTCACTCTTTCCCTGCCTGCCGAATACCCCTTGTTCTTCACCCGGCCTGCCGTTCTGGACATTGGCGGGCATTTGGAAGGACTTCAAAAACCAAAAGTGCGCTCGCGATAACGGATTATCAGCAAGTGCCGGTCCTTGCGTTAGAACACGGGTTCGGGAGTAGAAATAACTTCTGTCACAAACATTTTGAAGTTTATTGTATCAAAAATCTCACAACTCGATACAAGTAGGGGGGGGGGATACCACAATTAGAACACTAGGCAAACCACCACCATCCGGCCTCAATGCACTGGTTCAATTCATGGGTGGAATCGCTCGTGCGGCCGAGTAGAACATTGATAAATTCCATAACAAGCTTGATGCTAGTGGGACGGAACTCTCGTGCGGGTGGTATCCATAGACTAACGAACGCCGTGCTTGGGCTATTCCCTTGTTCGCCATGAAGCGCGCAGGTTCTGCGGTGAGAGAGCGACTCGTGAACGTCGATGTCTGTTAGAAATGGTTATATAGCTGTTGGACTCGATGAGATAAAAGAATTGATCAAGTACCGAGATAGCCGGAATGAAGCGTCGAGGAGAAAAAAATTCAGAGAGAAAAGAAAAGCAAGAAGAGCATAATAACAGAGAGAGAAGGCGGTCAGCCTTCTGTCTTCACATGCATGCCGGTCAGGTGTTTCGGGGGTGCGTACGCAACCTACAACGTAGATACCCCATTCCTATTTATGAGTAGTGCCGCCCGGTCAAGAACTCCCATGTGTGCAGTAGGCCTCCAATCACGGGTCCACGCATTTCTTATTCTGGTTTCGTATTCTATCTAGCACTTTTCTAACAATGTCACTTCCGGTTTTTGAAGTGATACCGAGATTTAGGTGGTGAACCTGATTATCGCCCCCCTAGCCACTTGATTTGTTGGAAATGGGTGGCGAGCAGGGAACAGTAACAGGGATTAAGCGCCGCTAAAGAGAATCCACACTAGTCTGCGCCAAGCAAGGAATGAGAGAGTGATAGGATGTGAAACTATTGTCAGAGTTTTGGCGATCGAGAGACCACCTACGAATAGCCGGGCGAACCCAAATGCCTGGTGAGATTCCTTTTTTTTCCTTGTCTATAATTTTTGAATTACCCGAAAAAAGGCAGGCGAAACACCGGTATTCTAGAAGGCACCTGCCCAACCCCTTTTCGAAATACCCTTTTCTCTCCCCCCCCCAATTCCCGCGTAGCGTTCGCTGTGAGCCGGGACCCCTCCCTATGGCAAGCGGTGGCAAATGGAAAGGCGGGGAAGGGGGTTGTCGGTTGTCGTTACGGAACACGAAGGGCTGCATGTCTACGTGATCACTCGTGGGATGCTTTTTTATTTTGAAAATAAGTAGGAGAGGAGTGAAGGAGGGGTATCTCTATCTCTTATCGAATTTGCTGCCCTGGTGTTTCCAGACATATCACACGGGTAGGGTTGACTGTTCGTAAGGCGAGTGACCCCCTGGATTCACATCCCTGTTCTAGCAATTGCGTCCTTCTATTGGCCGAGAAAAATACGGGTGCTAAGAAATGGGCAGAAAGGCGGACTGGCGGACTGGCCACCCATGCGTCCTTCTAGAAAGAATCTCCAGGGGATTCTTAACGTGGTATTCTATAATTACTATATTCACGTACTAAACATAACAGGCACGTACACGTGGGGCAAAAATATATATGGAAGTTGTCTATACGCATCCGAGGGCCCGTAGCAAATTCGGACCCCCATATTCGGGTTCATTATGCTGGTACGTGTATCACTGGGTAAGGATCCGGTGGTTGTGGAGCTAGCTAGTTCCGTACGCAATAGTGAGGGCTGACTCGCTCATCAGACATTCCTTTGCCTACAGGCCCTACCGGCTCATGTAAAAATACCCAAAGAGGATACAGCACTGTCGACGATTGATTTTGTCTGGCTATCGAAGAGAGTCAGTTTACACGCGCCAGGCGCCCCTCTCTGAAACTGTACAGAGATGTTGGGTCAGGATTGGGGTCTTTCCACTGCCACCGCCGGTTGACGAGCAGCTTCTCCCCCCGGGTTGTTGTCTTCATGAAAGTCGGTCAACGGGAAACACCCCCCACCCTCCCCCGCCCCCGAAGCCCGCTAGAAAACCCCAAGATTCGAATGGTACTTGGGTAGTTGGGTAAGTCGGGCGCGGAACCACAAATTTTGGGAGTTTAGTAGTCTATTCTGGGGGTCGCCAGCCTATTCGGGGTGTTGCCCAACTCATTTCTCACATACAAAAAAAAACCCTCGAAACAGATTTCCCTCTATGTAAATCGTCGTTCCCATATACGGGTGTTGCCCGACTTATGGCGCCCCCGAGTACATGGCCGTCACTTGAATAGGGTTCGGGGGATGTTTTTTCCATGTTTCCGTTGCAGAAATATTTCGTTTGGTATCTAAAGGGATAAGCTTAGACAGGCACCGACAACTTGATAGTCTATAGAGGAGGCCAGCGGCTTTGAAACACCACAAGTAATTGGCGCGAAAGGCGGTGCCTTTTCATGCCTGCTTCCCTCCCTCCTCCGATAACCGTGGGCCATTTTATATACGAATTTCTCCCCATCATGCCTCCTTCACACCATCCACTTCATCCAAAGACAGCGGGAAGAGATAGAGGAAAAGGGGGGGTTAAAACACCTTCCATTCCAACTTCAACTTTTGCAATCAGAGCAGGAACTCTGTACTCTCAGATATTCGGCTTTTGTTCCTCCTCTGATACATAAGCTTCCCCTCCCCTCGCCCTGGTCCTTAATTCAGTCGCCGCTCCAATTCCCACCGAGTAACTCCCCAAATATCTGCGCTTGTGATGGTGAGATAACGTTATGCTAACCTTTAATCGGTTCCAAAGCTACTCGGCTGGTATGTTGATAACTGCCTCACCCGAGGAATTGCCCACCCCCGCCTCGAACCCTCCTTTGCCCAATCACCACAACTACCCGCCCGCTCAACCAATCGAATACACCACCGACCAAAATAGCGACTACTTCTTCCGTACTAACCCCAGTCATCCACACTATCCGGTTGGATACGAGGGAAAGTTGACCTACGCCCCCCAAATCCAGGAACAAGATCCCGACCCGAACGTCAACGATTTTGCGCATCTTCCTCCCAAGCGCCATGGGAACCTGGACGCCATACCCGGTGCCGCCATACCTGGTGATGCGGGCCTGGGCCTCCACGTGTGCAGTATCTGCGGGAGAAGATTTGGACGTGAGACGGACCTGCCCGTCATAAGGAGACGGTCAGAGAGCACAGTGAGCCGAGCGGGCCCGCTTGCACGGAGCCTGGGTGCAAGCATCCCAGGAAATTTACACGCGTCGACAACTTCAGAACGCATTGCCGAATGCAGCACCAGAAGACTGATGCTGAGGTGGATGCGTTCCTTAAAGCTTGGAAGGCCGGGAAGGTGGTGCGTTCTAAGTGAGGGAGAGGGGGGGGTTCTCTCTGTCTTTAGTACTGCTGGTATGATACTCTCCTTGTACGATCTTCGCTGTGGGGCTGACAAGTGGTTGGAAGCGGCTGTACTGTACACAGTACCGAGCCAGCTCTCCGGCAGGCTGTGCTAGCTGGTTACACAACGCTGTTAAACCACCACCTTCTCTTTCATCTCTCCTTTTATTTTATTGTACAGTACAAGTACTTTCTTCCTTGCGCGGGACTTATTTCGCATTGCATATGCGCTGGCTTATTTTTTTTCCGCTCCCCCCCTTTTATTTTCGCCCGATCAATAAAGTTGATTTTTCCTCCTGGGGGGTGTTGCTGTGGGTCAGAAAATTTTGGGACGCAATGAGATTCCGTGAGAAAGAGTCGAGTTCTCCGTGTGTTTGGTATCGTTGCGGATTTCCAAGTTTGCAAATTTCCGAAACCCTAGCCCATCCAGCACAACAACTCTGCATCAGCCTGACTATGATTGCGAAAATTTCATTCGAACATGATTGTGTAAGATTATGGGAGGAAAATCAAGATATTCCTTCCCCCCCTACGTATTAGTACCGTATGGGTGATTGGGCGATCGTCACCCCCGTGTAGATTGTCGCAAACTGTACTCACGCGTCTTTGCCAAGAAGGACCCTACCAGCTGGGATCTGGTTGGTTTCCGAGGTCTGTTGTGCCACCATAGACAGCAATGACCGGGACTCTCTTGTCCACGGCCTACCTCTCCAGCCCGCCAATTTCCATCCAAATCTATAGGTCTTAAAGAAAGGTTGCTGTAGGAGTACTTTCGATGTTTAAGAAAGAGCGTAATTACCCGGGTCTTCGTTCGTGTTGGAATGTGTTTTCTCTTCAGTTGCCCCTACAAGTGTACCAGTACAATACTTGTAGTAAACACTGTGATCGAGAACCTGGAAACTTCTCGTGAGCCTTTCCGTGAGCCTATAGGCGGACCAAAAGTGACAGTTGCCCATCAAAGGCTCTATTTCTCATGTTACTGTGGCGCCGGGCGTCAAAAATCGACCTTCCCCGGAGTAAAAATCAAAAACGAACGCTCTACAATAATAGCAAGGTTTTTCGAAAGAACTCCATAGATGTTCTCTGGCGCAATCCGGCCTTAGCTACGGTAACTACTATTAGGCTTTCTACCCCTCGGCATTGATTAATATTGGTGTTGTTATGCGAAAAAAGTGATGTTGCGTTTTCAATAGCCTAGAGTTATTCTGGGTGGAAGTTTGCACAGCAGCCAGGTAAAACTTGAGAAAATAGGAAAATGGATTTTACAAGTAAACTTTATAATAGCACCCCAACCAGTGGTCCAATTGACCTTAAAATGTGATAGAATAATATATAATTTATTACTACAAAGACCAATGATAATATCATACAAAATTACAAAACATGCTATAACAATAAGTCCTCCTCTCGAAAGACTATGATAAATATTTTTCTAATAGATTTCAACCTCCTCTATCTATTTATGCAATAAAAAAAAACTGATATTTTGAATTATTCACTTAAAATACCTATTCAGAGCCCAATTTTTTTAAGGCAAACATTTTCTGGAACCATGACAGGGTATTCTACAATCTGAACAAGTTTCATATGGATTGTGGAACATTCGTTGCATCTCGGGATTGGTACGTTCTGTTGGGTAGTGGCCTATAGGGCATGGGGTTATGAAGGTTTGCGGTCATGAAGGGTTGCGGTTATGCAGGTTTACAGGTATGTGGTTAGAAGACGGAAGGATACAGGGTATCTGTCTTTGTGGTTTCCTACGGTACTGCACCTAGCAGAGGCTTTGTTCTTTTCGCATTCTATGCCAGTTGGCATAGGGTATTGGTTTTATGGTTTCTTTCATTCCCTAGGTATACAGAAGTTTGCGCATTGGCATTGTTGAGGTTGAGGTTCCATGGATCACAATGGATCATGGAGAGTTCTAGATTGCAGGAGTTTTTCTTTTGTCAGCCTCATGTGTTTCTTTAGAGTTTGTTTAGTTTCGCGCATGTTAGATTTTTGTTGTTTTGACGGAGATATATATCTCCTAGTTTGTTCTTAGCTAGCATGGGAGGAAGAGAGTGAGAGAGTCTATCGATCCTTCATCCCTGCACTTGTTTTGCACTCAGAGTCTTTCGTGATCCCACTCTAGTTCGCTCCTTCTTTAGTGCTTTCGTTAGGCACGAATACGTTCCCCGCATAACAGCACCCATATGATATCATACTCCACTTAATCGACTTTATTTCCATTTTTTGCCCACCTCTAAGCAATATCTACAAACCCCAACAGGAGACACTTGAGGTAGGGCACGTGAATTGGATGGGCTTTCCCCAATGGTGCTGCGATTTAATGTGCATTTCCAAGATGCCTTACTCTGAAAATTGGTGGGTGGAACCGCTAGCTTATATGGTATCAATTGCGAGTCGATAGATTTCCCCCTCACTTGCAATAGCGTGAAACCTCGAACAGAAAGTAAGTGGGCTAGGAAGTTTTAATTGACCCTCCTGGTAAGGCTATGTATATCCCTTTTATTCTGTCGAGCTTTGTTTGCGGTGGCTCCCTCTCGTATAGCCGGGAGAGGGGATTCCAACATCCTAGAAAACTTATCTCTGATTCAAGCACTAGTGCTGTACAGTTCCAAAGTACAGCCTCGTTCACAAAGTTCTCCTAGCCTCCCTTGTACCTCCAGAACTGTACCAATTGACAAGAGAATAAAAAGAGTCTTCTAGATGACTGTCCCTACATATGCCTCTAGAAGTATTGTAAACCATTATCACAATTTGTGTTGTCGAATTATGAGAGGGGGTGGTTAGAAATGAGTCTCCAAGGGCTGGGGGTACTCGGAAGAGTACGAGGACTTTGTGAATGAAGCTGTACTGTACTATGTACAACTAGCCGAGACCGCGGCCGTCAGCGCTTGCTCTCGATAGCTCACCCGTTTCGGGTGTAAATTGTCCTTTTTTCTTGCTTGTGTTCCAGGGTTGGCGCTCTTTTGCCGAGCGCTAGGCTCCACTCCCAGTGAGTAAGGAGGAGAGACCGTAGAAAATGGGATAATTAGACCTCACGCTAAGACGTCCAGAATTCCCGTTTTTGGATTGAAGTCGGGCTAGGGCAAATAAAAATAAAAGCAAAGTACAACAAGCCTTACTAGGAGAGGCAACTCTAACGTCTTAGCTAGAGATCTTATTATCCCAGTTTCTATCATACAAAACCTGCGGCACGACGGCCCGCGCGCGATCTCGGACATTGTATGAGGGACCGCAAATGGGCTCTTATATGACCGATTATCCTATTGCACGGCGCCGTTTTCGGTATCATTACGAAAAGTCGACATTCTCTTCCAGGGATTTCTACCGCCCTCCTCAATTAATATTCGTTGTTCAATTCAGATTACTATCCTCAAGCCGCTCCTCGTTTTAGAGACTAGCAAGAGACAGGAAGTCTGTTATCTCCTCCTGGCATCGACCGATCCCGAGCCGTACTGTAACCACCAATCCTACAGGACGGAAGCTCCCCTCTGTTGGGTTGGTATGAGTACGGAGTGTGAACCCCCACATACACTACTACCCGCGACCGCTCTCGCAGCGAACCCCGGAGCGGGATATGTGTTACCTTCGGCCAACTGTTACCCGGGCCGGAAATTTGGTGCTTTCATGCGCTAAGAATCCTGGAGGCTAAGTCGCGGGTTCAAGGGGCCCAAGGGAACCGAAATCCCGAAGCGGGAAACCGGTATCCACGCGCACACCATGCGAGATCGACATTCCGGAGTCTGCACCTGCGCATCGCAGGCACCACTGGTCTTCTGACTCACTCGCCCTGCTCTCAACATGGCGACTGCTAGCAAGTAGATCACTACAACAAACAAAATTCCTTGACGCCTAGGAGATGGTAAAAAGGCTCAAAAGTGTTGTTACAATTTGAACATGTATCGCGCCTGTATCGTACTTTCTCTACCTTCCGCCGTTGCGCCTGCAACGCCACATGGTCTAGACTCTTTATCTCTAAGAATATTAGTCTTCGATGTGTGTGCTATGGTCTAGATAAACGCATCTTTGGATAGTTGAAACAGCTGCAATTGGTGAATAAGTTTGGATGTTAGCCAAGCAGCTACCGGGAAACTGACACATTTGAGGCCCTGTGAGGGGGGGTAGTAACCCACCTCCGCTCACCAAAGTCTAGGTTCAAATTTATTCCGTCGCTCTTATCACCTCGTGCTATCGTAGCTTTAGGCAAACATGGCCTATGAATTGTTTTGTTCTTTTTTAAGTCCCTTCCGAGATTCACTACTTGTCCTCCATCCTTCTCAGCTCTAGATATGGCTCTTTCTTATCTAAGTTAATCTACTATGCTCGTTTACTAGAGAACTTGAGCATCTTCTCCTGCTGATTGTATGACAAATGAAGTGTTTTTGATTACCGGTAGGTGGTACCGTAAGAACTCGGGCAAGTGGGCCCCGTGCTAAGACGTTGGAGTTTCCCTTCCCAGCGTGGTCTGGTGTTTTTTCTTTTTATATTCCTCGGAAAGCAGATTTTCTGGTATGTTTTTTATCCCTTTTCAGGGGGGTCTGACCATCATACCTAGCACATAGTCTGCTTATTCGACTTCTTACTGTAACATGGTATCTTATTCGCCAAGTCTTGGTGACAGATTGTGTGACAGAGGGTTACAACAACTCTTGAACAACCGCTACCGATGATCTAAGAGTAGATGGCTTGGAAACGCATGGAGAGAAAAGCTTATGGTCATGTCTACGAAATCTTAGCCGCTAGTTTACACGCCTGTCAGTGGTATTTCCCTATTCGGCTCGAGGAATCACGCGCAGTTTAGATATTTTAGTATCATAGTAGAAACTAGTTCCCGACATAATTCGTCACCGTTCGAGTATGATAAGGGTGGGAGCTGTTGTCTAGTGTGCTATCACTCGCATATCTACCCAACACGGTGGACTCGGTGAATATGTAGAGCGCCTGCGAGTAGACTATCCCCGAACCTCAGGTGCCCCAGAAATACTCTTTGGAGACTTTGGAAACTATTCATGTGCTTTTTATTCCGCCTGTGCGGGGTTGTTGGAATTGAGGATCGAGAAAGACGAGGGTTTGCTGGTTTTATTTTTCATTTCTAGGGTATGATATGATATATGAATAATACAAGCTATTTGTCGGGGGGGGGGGTGGCAGAATTCCAGTCATTTGGATTGGATTGGCCCTTCTGCCTCTGGCGCGGTTTCAGTTTCCCCTTCCCCTGCTTGGGGAGTAATAGAAATTGAGTGGTGGCCCGTGGTCGAGGGGGGGGGTAGCTATGGACAAGTCATAAGTCA